TTGAGACAAAGTTTCACTCTGCTCAGTGGAGGACAAAAAGAACTTACGTTTAAAGTCAAAAGGCTTACCCTTCAAAGTAAGTTTAAGGTAGCAAAATAGGGAGTACAATGTTTCTGTTTTTAGCTCTGACAGTCCCTAATTTAAGGAGAATTTAGGCTTGCATTATTATGCTGAAAGCCTTCCACCCTCATATACAGAAGCTTGGTCCTTTTCTTAAGAACCATCTTTAATGTGTTTGTTTTATAAAAAATGAATTATACACTAAGCAAACACTAAAATGTATCAGTCTCCTACTTAGTTTTATGTGATGCCTATTTCCCCGATGTGTTCCATTAAAATAGAATTATAGTTTTATTTTGGTACTTGTGGTAACAATGTAAGCATAGGCTTTTTCCTGGATTATGGCTCTCACAGTAATAAAGATTGGGCTACTACCAAGGTATAAGATCAGACTGTTTGGGGTTGGAGAGATGGCTCAACAATTAAGAGCACTTGCTGTCTTCCAAGAGGACAAGATTCAGTTCCCAGCACACATGTTGGCTCACAACTTTTGTAATTCCAGTTCCAATGGTCCCAATGCCCTCTTCTAGCCTCTAGGTACCCATGTGGTACACATGCATACAGGCAGGCAAAACATCAATACACATAAAATAAAAATAAATAAGCCTTAAAAAAAAAAAGATCAGACTGCTAGGGCTCTTTGTAAATGTGAATTTATGGGAAGTACTTAAACTCAGTTTCACTAAACATACAAGAGGGGAAGCTGGGCACTGGTGGTACATGCCTTTAATCCCAGCATTTGGGAGGTAGAGGCAGGCAGATCTCTGTGACTTGGAGACCAGCCTGGTTTACAAGAGCTAGTTCCAGGACAGCAGGACAGCCTCCATAGCCACAGAGAAACTCTGTCTCAAAAAACAAGCAAGCAAGCAAACAGACCAACCAACCAGAAAGAGGGGCTGGAGAGATGGCTCAGCAGTTAAGAGCACTTGCTGTTCTTCCAGAGGAGGGTTGTATATGTGGTCAATTCCTAGCAACCATGTAAAGGTTCAGAAACTTCAGTAACTATAGTACTAGGGGATCTGACGCTGTCTTCTGGTCTCCAAAAGCACCAAACACACAGCTGGGGCTAAGGCATACATGAAGGTAAAACACCCATACATGTAAAATAAATTCAAAACTTTTAAATTAAAAAAAAAAGATAGAGGAAGTAGTACTATTATTTCATGTTATTCTGAGAACTAAAAGAAATGAGGCATATACTTAGCAGAGTGCCTGGAACATAATGAATGCTAACATACTAATTGTTGTAACAGGGGATTGAGGTTATGAAGGTATGTGTGTCAGTAAAGTGTTTGCCACAAAAGCATGAGGACCTGAATTCAATCACAGGCACCCGTGTAAAAGCATCGAAAACAGAGATCCTCTGGGGCTTGCTAGCCAGCCAGTGTAGCCAATCAGCGAGCTTCAGTTTCAGTGAGAGAGCTTACCTCAAAATATAAGGTGGAGAAGCGAATGAAGAAAATTCCCAGCATCAGCCTCTACCTCCACATGTGCATGTATGAAGACACATGCACACGTATACACACACACACACACACACACACACACACACACACACACACACAATGGGTGAAAACGAGATTGAAGTGTGGCTGAGAATTGACTATTAGCATCAAAGCAAGTGTGTGTATGTGTGTGTGTGTGTGTGTGTTTTACTGTTAGGCAAGTGTTCGACAAATATACTGTGTATTTAGTCAAGTTATTTGGATAGTTTTGATAGAATATTCTTGAGAGAAGCTTGCTATGTATAAACTGTGATGCTGCATGAGAAGAGACCATCACGCGGCTCAAGTAATGCTGCAGACCTGGAATTTGAATGGGAGTGTTGCAGAGTCTCTCCTTTTCTTCCTGTGAAGGTTATCCCACCAATAATCTTAGTGATACCGGCAACCATTCTTTTTAGAAGTGTTTTTTTTCTTCTCAACCATTTTTATTGTGGTGTGTGTGTGTGTGAATGTACCATAGGAGTGTGGAGAACAGAGAACAACTTGTTGGAGACATTTTCCTACTTCCATCCTGTGGGTACAGGAGACTGAAGTTACAATGTCATGCTTGGTGGCAAACACCTTTACCTGCTGAGTAATCTTGCCAGTTCGGTCTTTTTCATATTTTAAAGTATGTCTGTATGCATGCTTTGTGGATGTGTGGTGTTGAGAATCAAATCTACTATCTTCTACATGCTAACTTGATTTTCCATCACTAAGCTATATTCTTAGTTCTAAATAGCACGTTAATTTCTTAGGATAAAGGCAAATTTGGTGCTAATAGTTGTGAAATAATAACTCGATAGTAGATTTTAAGATGTGAAAGATTTAACATCTCGGGCTTTGTTTGTGTACTTTAAATATGGGCTTTAAACTTTTCCTGGTTAACCAAATTCTAGATTTACAAGTACTTTGAAGACTCCTACTGTTCTCTCAAATGTTTATTCCTAACATTTTGAAATTATCACAACAGGTAAATTCTCTGGAGTAGGTCAGTCTTATGCATTCCTAAGTAGACATTTCTATGTCTAATCTATATTCTTAGGATAAACAATGGCACCTGTGAAGATCTGTTTGCTGAAACTAATGAGCTGTCAGTGAAAACTGACCAAGCAGAGGCCCTGTCCATCTCCTACACTGGGGTACGGGAGCGTAACTTAGCCTCACTGTACTTCATTTTCTTCACCACCCCCCTCCCCCGCCCCCATTCCTCTGGGAACTGAAGTATCTCACTCATGCTAGTGCTCTACCACTGAGCTGCATCCCCAGCCCCTCATTTCTTCCTCACTGTAACACTGACAGACCCAATGAGGACTAAATGGGGTCCCATATATAAAAGGCATTAGGTATATAGTAAAATATTGTTTTAGTTATTAAAATTGCTATTGTAGCAGTAGTCAGAAAAAAAAGGTCAGAGTTTCTGGATAGTTACTATACTTGTTGAAGAGAAAACATAGTAACTATGTGTAGTATGAGCTTGCAAATTGTACTTGAGCTACTTCAAAGTGTGGGAAGAGTGTTGTGGGGGTATTTACCAGAGAAGACTGACTGGATACTGGTTAAGCCAATAGAAAGTCTCTATTAGCAGCCTGACGCTACACAGGGTGTCCGGAATCCCAGTGTAGCCCTGAGCCTTTCTCAGGATGAGCTTTGGAGCACAGAAACCATGTTCTGGGTTGACTTAGTTCAGTTAACAAGAACAGTTAGCCAGAAGCAGAACTACAGAAGCTAAAAAGCAAGGCTAGTCCATTTTGAGACTTTCCCAGAACTATATGGGCTTTGATGGATTAGGTCTTTGTTTCAGTTTTGGCATGTCTACATGCTGAGTTTTACAACCTGAATGTATTTCCATCATGGAGTCAGTTGTGCTGAGGTCTGGGGCCCTGTCTCAAAGAGTATGACTAATGGCTGCTTGTTTAGTATTGGGTAAGAGCCACAGGCTGTGGGAGAGAGGTGTGGATGTGTGGAGAAATGAAACAATAGGGAGATAAATAATTTTGAGGCATAAGGAGGATAGAACATAAGAAAAGCAAGAGGTATGCTGCTGATGCCTGCAAGAGAACTCTGTATTCTAATTTCAAGGCATTGACTACAAATATGTTCAGAAATTATTACCTTCAACCATGTTGTTTAGACTTGAGGCTATCAAACTTTCAACTCTTGACTTAACTTCTATCAGGACAGAGATTGGTTTACAGAACCGATGTTGGCAACCTCAGTGCAGTTAGAAGACGGCCACTAGCATTTAATGTAAGTGTCAACTTGCTAAGTCGTATCACTTCTGACATGATTTCATCACCTGTGAAAGGGGGACAATTATTTGCCTAAAAAGATGTGAGGATCAAACACTCCTAGCAGCTGAGAGATATGCTTTCTATTACACTCTGTGTCAATGGGAATGGTTTAAAAACTATACTGTGTGTTGGCACTGGATTGCGTTAATGGGATTTAAGGTCCCAACTAAAGTCAGTGTCTTCAAGTCTTTACTATCTAAATTAATTTTCCTTCCTTTATACATAATAATGTGGTGTACAGTATTTCTTGGGGGTTGTAGGGGGTTTCAAGACAAGGTTTCGCTGTTAGGTCCCTGCTTCCCCTGAACTTGCTCTGTAGATCAGGCTGCTCTCGAACTGGGAGACTCGCCTACTCCCGCCTCCAGAATGCCGGGACTGAAGGCATACGTCACCACCTCATGGCTCTTGAGCACATTTTAGCAACACCGCTGCCTCTTAAGCTTCGGGTTAATCGGATTGATTTTAGAAAGCGTTTCCAAACACTGCCTTTTGGAGGCTTGCCTGGCACCCAGTGCTGCAGTCTGGAGTTAACAGCTCTTAAAGCATGGTAGCAATGACCGGAAAAGGCGCGCAACCCAGATAGTCAACTCGTCATTTTTGATTCGTTCTGCCACCCCAATGCCTCGGTGAGAGCAACCCCGGAATCCCGTTCCACGTTAAACCGAAGTGCCTCGATTCGCTACGAAGGCTGGAGGATAGACAGCTCCAGAAACCCAACCGCTAGGGATGTGCAGCCGATCGGCCACAATTTGCAACCTGCGGGGAGGTTAAGTGTGGCACCTCACCCCCACCCCAACCCCCCCGGAAGTTTTTGAGGCTCCAGTTACTATGTCTGGGAGTCACCTTGACCCTCTCCGAAAGGTGGAGAAAGTGCTCGGCCGGAGGCGGAGTGGGTGAAACCAAAGACAGAGGACACTTTCGTGGGCAGAAGGCACCCTCCCGTTTCCCCTTTCTCAGGGGTTAGCTGAAGACCGAGAGTTTAAGGGTGACAAGAGCAGGTGGCAGGCAGAACTCCGCCCCGCACACGCTTCTCCACCTTCAGCGAGCACGCTTCACTCTCTCCGGGAGATCCCGCCTCCCAGGCGCGCGCGAAGAGTGGCTGCGCGGTGCACGCCGGGAGTCGTGGTCCAGGAGCGGACAGTGGCTACGGGGCGGTCAGCGGTGGCCTACATACCCCATGGTGCTGTGCGGCGCAGGCCGCCTCCCGGATGTGTGCCTGGCGCCGGAAGAGAAGGCGGCCCCCCTCTCTCGGCCCGGCCATCTTGTGGGAAGAGCTGAAGCAGGCGCTTTTGGCTCGGCGCGGTCCGCTGCAATCCGTGGAGGAACGCGCCGCCGAGCCACCATCATGCCTGGGCACCTACAGGAAGGGTTCGGCTGCGTGGTCACCAACCGATTCGACCAGCTATTTGACGACGAATCGGACCCTTTCGAGGTACTGAAGGCAGCAGAGAACAAGAAAAAAGAAGCCGGCGGGGGCGGCGTTGGGGGCCCCGGGGCCAAGAGCGCCGCTCAGGCCGCAGCCCAGACCAACTCCAGCGCGGCGGGCAAACAGTTGCGTAAAGAGTCCCAGAAAGATCGCAAGAACCCGCTGCCCGCCAGCGTCGGCGTGGCTGACAAAAAGGAGGACACGCAGCCGCCGGTGGCGCTTAAGAAAGAAGGTAAAGCCGGCCGGCCGGCCGAGGCGGTGGGGAGCCCCGGGCTGGCGGGGCAGGACGGGGGCGTGCGCCGCCGCTCGCCCGTGCAGCTGGAGGGGCGGCGGAGAGCGCGGAGCCCCGCGCGGGGCCGCGAGCGTGGCTGCCACCCAAGCCCACGCCGCTCGCAGGCGCGGCGGGCGCCTTCCCGCCTCGGGCAGGCAGGCAGAGCGTGCTCCGAGACGGCGGCCCGGGCGTTCCCGCCGATTCGGGCCGGGCAATCGCAGCCGCCGCCGCCGCCGCCGGGCTCTCCGTGATCGGGAGCAGCGCGGGCCACGTTCCCTGCCCGGCGTGCTCCGTCCAGTGCGCGGGCTGCTGCTGCCGCCGCCCGCTCTGGGCTCCTGCCCTGCCATCTTGTCCTACAATGGCGCGGACCCTCAAGGGAAGGCCGGGGCTCGGAGTTTCTCCACTTGGGCTGCGTGTGTTTGGGGCACCGTTCAGAGTGGAGGAAGGGGCTGTTTGGGTCCCACGTGTGCTTTTTTTTTTTTTTTTTTTTTTTTTTTTTTGCCTTTGGGTTAAACTTGCTGTAACTTAGCTCGCATGAATGAAACTGGGGAAGGAGAGAGGAATTTGGCCCCACTCGTTTTAGAGGGAGTTGTGAATTGAAGACTGGTCGTTAGCAGAACCTTTCTCACGTCGCGATCCCTTCTTCCAACACCCTGAAGCCCCCCAGGTCATCGGGCTTTTTGCTGCTCTTGGCTTCAGTGGGTCAAAAAGAGTGCCCAGCCTGTCACGTCCAGCAGCAGAGCTCTTTGGAGCCTGCAGCTTTCCCTCCGCACGTGCGTGAAGCATGGTCAGGTCTTTATCCTCCAGGGCGCTGAAAGTTTCGTAGTTGTTTTGATTTTTACATTCTAAAATACTGGCTCATTGCGGGTCAAAAGGCAAAACAGTTAAGGGTTAAGAAAGTGCAAAATCGATAGTAGGTAGGTTTAGAATCTAAACTGAATCTTTAAGGTTACCATTACATGTTGAAGTTGCCTGTTGGTGCCACGTGCTCATGAAAGGGATTGTTTGGGTTTTGGTTCAAGGTATCTTTTTTTGGGTGGGGGTCTTTTTGTGTAAGGGTTGGAATAAGCATCCAGTACCTAGTTGACTGAATAAAACAATTCTTGTGCAAAAAATGATAGATTTGGAAGGGCAACCTAGTCTGGATTGCTGTAAAACATCACTTGGGCAAAAGTACTCAGATGATTAAGCTTGACATACAGTTGAATAAGCCATTTAATTCTTGTGTAAAGGAACTCTGGTTGGTGTATTTTAAACTGTTAACCTCCTTCATGATACTAATAAAGTTCATGAATAAGTTGTGTCTGAAACACACCAGATTTGCTCACTCAGTAAATGTTCAAAGCATGAAGCTTAATTTAAATTACTCAGTTTTTTTCACCACTAGTCCAGTCGATTATCTTAACTGAAAACTAACATTGGAAGTCTTAAATGTGGGGAATTTTATTTATAGCACGTATTCTTTGCCATTTACTTTAGTCCTTCGGAAAACTTTTTTTTCACATTTTTTTATCTTTTTTTTTTTGATGGTATTGGGAATTGGACTCAAGGACCCTTAAATCACTCTAAAACCAGAGTTGCATAAAACAAGGTTATACAAAAGAGGGAAATTTAGAATAAAAATGTCAGTTACCTATATTGGATGGATGGTACCTCCAAGAAAGGAAAGACTTGTTCATCTGTATGTCCTGTATCTCGATAACACATTACTAGAATGTAATGGTTTCCTTACATAGATTTTGTAGCTTTTGTCTATTTGAAGAACTTGAGAGTTGGCAAAATGTTAAGTGTAGACCAGGTTTTTGGATAAAAAAAAAACAAACACCTGGATTCTACTGCAGTTAACAATTCAAGTATAGGTAAGTACATCAAAAGAAACTTGCATGCTTTAAAAAGTAGCAATCATTTTTCATTAGATGAGTTTACTTTTTGTGGCGGGTGGTATTGGTAGAACCCAGCGTTTTGTCCACTAGGCCAAAGTATAAAGTAGCTCTCACTAAGCAACACTCCCAACCCCATGATGAGTTTATTAAGTTTTTTTCCCTGATTATGTAGGCCTCATTGAATATTGGGTGGGGAAGCAAGCCATTGTTCCTTGGGTGTGTTTAGCTTGGTTATCATTACAAGGACTGAGCTGGTTCCATAGCTCCACCCTAACATACTGTACCTCTGATGAAATTTATGTAAATGTCTTGGCATAGGTTTACATTTAGGGCTTGTCCTGAAAAATTTACAAAGAATGAGATTTAAATATTAAAGAATTTTATCTTTACTATATGACTAGTTAGAGGTATCTGAACCATTGGTGTATCTTCATGGTGTTCCATTTTCTTTAGCTAAGTCACAACACTTGAGATTTTACAAAAACAAATTCTGAACTGTTCATTGACTGTCAAGACTTGTGGCTTGGTAATTAGCATACTTGAAATGGTAAGCATGTATTTAACTTGTCCTTAAGATTACCAATAATTGAATTCATATTGGTTCTTTTTATGAGATTCCTGTGTTATCAGAAAAACCGAAGGTAGAAAAATTAGTTTAAGTGTCACTTAGTACCATGCGTTTTCTGTTTTCTTTTTTGAGGGTGGGTGCTGTGACTGAACTCAGAGTTTGGTTTTTACTAACATTCTGGACAGTCGCAGCTTTCTTAGTACATAATTGCTGAACAAGAACCTTTCTGTGTGATTTGTGAAGATGCTTTGAAAACAGGTATTTCCAAGAGCAGACCTAGAAAAAGGTTTTCTGTTCATGCTAATAATGAATAATGACCATTTCCTAATGGTCACATAATAGTGTTAAAAGACTATGATATGTGTATGCACACTTGGACTTTGAATGTTAATGAGGAAGGCAGTAATTTTTCTGGTTAAATATCTCTATTTGCTTGTTTGGAGTGGAGTTGGGACATAGTCTCTGTAATCCAGATTGGCATTGAACTTCCTTCCAAACCAGCCTTACCTTAGCCTTTTCTAGTGTTAGTATTGTAGGCACTATGTCCAGCTCAAATAGCTATTTTAAATTGTTTTTTTTTTCTAGAAATCATAAATACCTTCTATTTTCCTTTCAGAATTATAATTTTCTAGACTTAAGTTCTTCATTGCCTTCAGTGGATTCCACTGTTTTCTGAGGGGTACATTTGTGAATACCCAGTGCTTGGTTATTAATGAGTGGTTACTGGTTACTATGTTATTAGCTTTGATGTCTTTAAGCTAAAAATACGTCACTTGGCTGAAGTATTTGTAAGTTTAAAATTTTGTGGGAATAGACTTTGACATCTTGGAAAGTAAGGTGTGATGGTGCCTAGTGATTTCCAAGTATAACTTGTAGATGAAGCTTGAGGTGTTTACTATTGAATAAGAATGTCACAAAGCCCTACAAATAATGTAGCCTAAACTTTTGTATTGTAAAAATGATTTGTTTATGCTGGTTATTTGTCATAAGGAATAAGGCGAGTTGGAAGAAGACCTGATCAACAACTTCAGGGTGAAGGAAAAATAATTGATAGGAGACCAGAAAGGCGACCACCTCGGGAAAGAAGATTTGAAAAGCCACTTGAAGAAAAGGGTGAAGGAGGTGAATTTTCAGTTGATAGGTAAGCTTTAAGCAAGGTTTTCTTAGTTTGTTAGTTAGATCTTAATGTAAAGCTATTAATTGGGCATAATTGCCAGGTAGTAGTTGGGGTGATTATTTAGGTATATTTCAGAGAAATGTGAATATGTGTTGTTTCATTTATATTTATGGATAACATGTTCTAAGTTAGATCTCTTAATAGTAAATCTTTTAATTGAGTCAATGACCAATTTCTTCTACTTCCTCTGTCCATATACTGAGTTTAGAAGGACAGTGGTATTATCTATCACTCATGCAGGATAGATATGATTACTGCAGTTAATAGAGTATTGGTAAATACAGTGTGACTGATTCAGTGAGTCAGTGACAAAGTGTGTATTAGCAGAAATGCTTGAAGCAGTTTCTAATTATGAGTAGAAATAAACTTGGAATTTTCTACACCATATATTTAGTTATTGGGTTATGAGCCAGTAAGCATATTCTAAATTTTTGAGAATTGCAGTGGATTTTTACTGTTCCTGTTTCTGGAAATATCAGATCAGAGGTTTAATTTTTAAATTTGTTTTGTAGACCGATTATTGAACGGCCTATCCGAGGCCGAGGTGGTCTTGGAAGGGGTCGAGGTGGCCGTGGACGTGGAATGGGCCGAGGCGATGGATTTGATTCTCGTGGCAAACGTGAATTTGATAGACATAGCGGGAGTGATAGATCGTAAGTCTTATTGATTTTTGTATGTTTTAGATTTAAATGTACTTATTTAATAAAAACTAAATTTGAATTTCTAGAACTAAAGAGTATAATGTTAACTCAGTTTTGTTAGTTCTTTTTCGCATTACAGTGGCCTGAAGCATGAGGACAAACGTGGAGGTAGCGGATCTCACAACTGGGGAACTGTCAAAGATGAATTAACGTTGGTATTCTGATTTTTTTTTTTAAGTTAAATAATTTGAAACCAAAAAAAAACTCTTAACTTATTAGAGGCTTATCAATACAGAATGGATGTTCTGCCTCAAATTGATAACCTTATAATGCCTTAAAGTAGTTAAAGTAATAGTTAAATATTTCTGATGGATGTATGTAGCTGGGAATATTGTGACTTTAATAGTTTGACCTTTAATAGTTTGTCCTTACAAAATTTGATAAGCCTCCCCCACTGTTTTCTTGAGCTAGGTCTTATATAGTCCAGGCTAGTCTTGAACGTCTAATTAATTACAGCTGTCTACTACTGTGTCTGACTTATAGAGCCATGTTTTAAAAGTGTGTAAACTAATATAATTTGTTTTCGCTTAGAGGTCTACTGGAGAGTAAAGTGAATAGAAATAGAATAAAATTAGTAGAAATAAAGAATGTAAAAGTGTTTACTTTGTTATGAAGGATTTTTGCTACATGTAAATGGACCTAGATGCCTTTCTTTTCTTTCTTTCCTTAGAGAGTCTCCCAAATACATTCAGAAACAAATATCTTATAATTGCAGTGATTTGGATCAATCAAATGTGACTGAGGAAACACCTGAAGGTGAAGAGCACCCAGTGGCAGACACTGAGAATAAGTAAGTGGTTTTGAGTGAGGATGCAGTGCGGCTGCATTTTCACCAATAAAGTGATTGGTTTAATTGCAGTCATTGATGGCACAGGCATGAGACTGTCTTCTTTTGAGACATTGCCTTGCTGTCTGGTTCAGGATGGCCTGAAACTCAGTATTCTCTAGTCTTACTAAGTCCTGGGAGTACAGGTGGTACCACCATGCCTGACTTTTAAGTAAAAATCACTAAAATAACCTGTTGTTACCTGGTGATGAAGGGAGGGAACAAAGTACTTTGCATTTGAACTTTAGGAAGGGTGATTTTAGTGACAGCTGAGATTCTGAATGGGTTGCTGTGTGCTAAAAATGAAACAAGCTGGGCAGTGGAGGAAGGCAGAGGCAGGTGGATCTCTGTGAGTTCAGGGCCAGCCTGGTCTACACAATGAGTTCCAGGACAGCCAGAGCTACACAGACACCCTTGTCTCAAAAACAAACAAAATAAACCCAGAAAAAACCAAACTGGACCAAATTGTTGATATAAGAGTTATATAGTCATGTGTTAAGTCGAGGTTCAGCATTATCAGTTATAAATACTGAAATGAGACAACTTGAAAAAACGTTAGCTTCAAACCATGAAAAGCAATGTTGAGAGTGTTGGCCTCCACGTGGGTTAAGTATCTACAGAGGCCAGAAGAGAGAGGGTATTGGATCCCCTGGAACTGGACCATTAACTAATGCTTCCGTAAACAACAATGGGGTGTAGGTGTATTTTTGGCCTGCTGATTTTATTTCCTTTGGGTATGCTGTGAAGCTCAGTCTACTGGGTCTGCATGACATGAGTATTGCTGTCTTGAAATCTTGGCAGTTGTTAAACTAACAGTGATTTATGGGGCTTGCCAGGTGATTTGAGGATCTCTATCTTCTCTTGAGTATGTAGAACCCTTTAAGGGTTGGGGTTGGGGAACTGTCTATGTTGCTGTAATTAACCACTCACCCATGCTCCTATAAATATATCCAAGGAAACTCTTTGGTGCACCAAGCAGGTGGAATGATTTTAATTGGGGTGTGTTTGCGCGCACCTGTGCGCATGTGCACGCTCAGTCTGGAGTGAATACATATTTATTCATGTCTACTTGGGAAATAAGCTCAGCAAAATATATACCAAATGGTAAATTGTTGGATCTGTTTCTAGGCTTTTGAGAATCTTTGATTTCCATGGTGGTTGTGTTGTACATTTATGAGGGTATTTTCTCTGCATCCTCACCAGCATTTCTTTCTCTGTGAATAGCCATTCATGACTAGGGTGAGGTGATCTTAATGTCATTTTGATGGTGTTTTGTTTTTAGTCAGGTCTTATGTAGCTCAGATTGCCCTTGAACTATGTAATGGAGGATTATTTTGCTTATGATTCTTTCCATGTTCAGGGGTTACAGGTGTGCTCAGCCATTACTGTCTAGTTTGCATTGCTAGGACATTGGTAGGATGCACTACCATCTGAATTACATCCCAGCCCTGTGCTTTTCATTTATTTTTGCACTGATAATTACTGATGATGAACCTTGTTTCCCCCTTTCATTTACTTTGTGTAACAGCCCTGGCTACCCTAGAACTTACTTTGTAGAGCGGGCTGGCTTTGGATTCCGCCTGCCTCTGTCTCCCAACTGTTGGCCCACTCTTATTTACCCTTTTTTTAAAGTCAGATTATGGTTATTTTGTGTTTTTTTTTTGTGTGTGTTTTGGTTGATGTGCTGTTTGCATTTGTTACATTACATACTTTCTATTTTCTGTTAGTCATGGGTTGCAGGTATTTTCTTCCATCTGTGCATATTGCCTTTTAGTTTTGATGAAATCCTATTAGCCAGATCTTGCTTTTGTTTCTTTGCCTTTGGGGGCTCTTTGGCAAGACCAATTCCCTCCAGGTAAACTTTGTTTGTAATTTTATGTGTAAGGAAGTTTTGCCCACATGCATATGGTGCCCATGGAGGCCAGAGGAGGTTATTGGATTTGGATCTGGACTTGTAGATGATAACCCTCTATATAGGTGCTAAAGGTTGGATCTGGGTCTTTGGGAAGAGTGGCTAGTGCTCTTAACTGCTGAACCATTTCTCCAGTCCTGTTTGGTTTTTGAGACAGGGTCTTCACTTTGTTGTAGTGGTGGCCTAGAACTCTCTATGTAGACCAGGCTGACTTTAGTTCACGAGGACTGTTTAATTATGTCTCTAGTGCTGGGATTAAAGGCATTGTGCTACCACTCTCTATTAAAGTCGTTTTAAATTTTTTAACTGTTGAATTGGAATCTCTGAGGTTATATGAAAAGAGAGAGCGAAAGAAATGTGAAGTGCTGTTTTGTTGATAAGTGGAAGAATTGTATTTTATAGACTTGTTGGAGAAGGAAAACAATCACTGGAATAAATAAAAAGTAAATGGAGTAGGTGGTCTTTTGCATTAAGAATTTGAGTGTGTTTTACTTTGGAGGGGTAGGTATAATGGGGATTAATAATACCTCACAATACTCAGCACAATCTTTTTCCTTTATTCAATGTAACTTGTCACTTTCAGAGTGTCCTCAAAGATTGTAAATGTTTCTCAGAATGAAATGATATATTCATGTAGTGTTAGAAAGGATTCCTCTTATAAAGTAGGGGGAAATGGTATGTAGTCTTTTATTTGCAGGATAAGTTGAAGTAAAACTAGAGTAGTCTTTAAAGGTAGTCTATGACAGTCATGGACTGTCAGGGCTGGTAAGTCATTAAGACAGAGTTTTAGTTCTATGATCTGTAAAAATGACTTGATAGACTTGGTGTCCTGTCAAGATTGAATGTAAATTTGTTTTAGGAAGTTGTAAGATAGAATCTGTCCAAATATAAAGAATTACATAAAGATAATTTAGCAATGATGTTAAACTAAATCACTTGCTATCTTTGGAAGGAAACAGAGCTCCCAAAATAGCAAATGATATGTTTAGTGGCATTTGGAATTAGACTAAGATCATGGATTCCTAGGCCTGTGCTTTACGTAGGAAGGGGGGGGGCAGATAATGAAAATAGTTAAGACTTGGGAAGTAACTATTTTGATGTAAATGTTGAAACCAATTTGTTTTGTGGACAATTCCACTACTAGTGAAACCCCAGTATTCTGTCCATGTTAGGTTGGTTTGAGAGTTGGAGTCATGAAATTTCAGATGTGTAGAAATCATGCTTGCATACTTCATTAGAGTCCTAGTGATTAAAGTAGAACAACATAGTGGTCTCCATTATATATGAAATGAAAACAGTGATGGCTCAGTCAGTACAGCTCCTGCTGCTCAAGTTTTAAGGCCTGAGTTTGGATGCCAGACATCGGTGCACATCTGAACAACAACCCTCACAGTGGGTGTGGGAAGATATTTCTAGAGCCATCCAACCTAAGTCTCTAGGTAGTTGGTGATCTCCAGATTCAGTGGAAGATCTGGTCTCAAAAATAAAAGCAGAGAGTGATGATAGCAAACACGAGCCTTGACCTTTGACATATCTGCATGCACATGTAAACACCGCTATGTACTGTACCATTTACAGTTTTAGGGGTGAGTGAGACACGACAGGGTACAGTTTAAAGTATAGTTTCAAAGGAATGTATATTATGGATTGATAAGGCCAGTTCATGGTAAATAGTCATTTAAGAAAGCAAGTTTTAATCTGTACTCACGAATCAGCATGCAGATGAACTGATTTCTCCTATGCTGCATGTTGGGTGCTGGTTATACAGATAGCTGCAATTCTTTGATAGTCTTCCTAACAGATACTGTCAATTTTCTTATTTTTGTAATTTTAGATATGTATATTGAAAAATGTGTGTGTGTGTGTGTGTGTGTGTTTGTGTTTTGTCTACTTGTATGTATGTGTGCCATTTACTTGTCTGTTGCCCATGGAGTTGAGAAGGGGGCTCCTGATCTCCTGGAACTGAAGTTACAGGGACTGGTGAACCACCATGTATGTGCTGGGTTCTGAATGAACCTCAGTTCTCTGGGAGAGTAGCCAGTATTTTTAACCTCTTAGCTATCTCTTCAGTCCCCCAGATATTTTTCCACAAATTAGTATCAGCCTTGATATAAAATTTAAATATCTTTTTCACAGGGAGAATGAAGTTGAAGAGGTTAAGGAAGAGGGTCCAAAAGAGATGACTTTGGATGAGTGGAAAGCTATTCAAAATAAAGACCGAGCAAAAGTAGAGTTTAATATCCGAAAACCAAATGAAGGTGCTGATGGACAATGGAAAAAGGGATTTGTTCTGCATAAATCAAAAAGTGAAGAGGTAAAGTTAAAATTGTTTGAATATGTTCATATGTGGCTTGAATTATAATTTATAGTAAATTAAATATGGATAACTTTTTTTTTCCTGCTCCCGAGACAGGGTTTCTCTGTTTACCTCTAGCTGTTCTGGAACTAGCTCTTGCAGCCAGACTGACCTTAACAGAGATCCGCCTGCCTCTGTCTCCAAGTGCATGTGCCACGCTTTTAAGCCTTATTTTAGATTTACTTGATATTCAGGACTCAGAAAATGTTAGTATTTTTGTTTGTCCTATAAAGACTGGTTAAGAGTTTCTTTTAGCTAAGAAACATGGAAACTAATGTAACTACTTGAGAAAGTCCTGCTGATGTGGGGTTGTTATTTTCTTCTAGCAGCTTTTGCTGGCCTTTTTGATACCTGTATTTACTAATGTCATAAATTAGGCTATGTCAGAAATTCAAATCATGCTATTCCAACGTGAAGTTTAAATGTTAGTAGGGCAGTCTATAATTTAGGATTTTGTTCACTTATTTTTGATATTGGGGATTGAACTCAGGGCTTCAAACATGCTAATAAGCAAGCACATGCTCTGCCATTAAGTCGTAACCTGTAACCCTCAATTTCTTAATCCGTTTGGTTTATTAGCCATACAAATGGCTGAGACCAATATGGGAAACACTGTTAACCAAGGATATTTATTCCATTAAATATAAAATAAGGAAATTGCCTTAAATGTCAAGTCTTTTAAAAAGTTACATTTTGTTTCATTAGAATGAATTTTTTATCCCAGTTCTTACATATAAATTTGCTAGTGTTATATGAGTAGATCAGTATAGGTGGAAGTCCTGATTTACAAAAATGAATGTAGGAATTCCTTTTTTAAAATAACAAATGGCCTATGTTAATATGAAAAAGATTTACCTAGGCTCTGGCCTTTCCCATTAAAATCTAGTCGTAAAATTAGGTAATTTAATATATTGATAGTCTTTTTTTTCTGAGCTTTTCATAAAACTACAACAGTCCTATTTAACTGTGATTTTTGCTTTCTGTTATTTTCAGTTAACCTGTAGTCAACTAAAGTCCAAAAATAATAAATGGAAAACTAGAAATCATTTTTACATTGCATTCCATTATGAATAATGTGGTAGAAGCATTATCCTTTACTTTGAGTATATAATTATCCATTTAAAACTATTTTCATTGTATATACTACTTGCCCATTAGTTAACTAATAGCTCATATAAAGAAAAAAATAGGGTTTGGTACTGTGGTTTTAGGAATCTCGTGAGTTTTAGTGACCTGCAAATATTAGGGACTACTGTATCATGCAAGGTAAGATACAAGAAGTTTTGAAAATTTTAAAATGCTCAGTTGCAAGTCAACGTAATGTTTGGATCCATACATTTATTGTGCCTTTGTGATGTGAATACTTATAATAATAATATGGGCTTACTGATTTTTATATTGACATTGTCTGTGGAAATAATGGTATGGTTCTGTGAAGGAAGAAATGTGGTTTGGGGGTGGGAAATTGAGTCATTGTACTGACAGAGCTGAGGTCAGAGCACATTAAAACCCTAGATGCTCTAGAGATACGAGTGGATTTGTTATTTTGGTTTTTATCACATTCTGCAAGCCAACCTAAAAGTTAGGAATGTGTCCTGGTCATCAAAACCGTCCAGGTTTAAACACATCACTTAAGCTTGTTTTGCTTTTGTGCTCTAGAAAGTTAATAATGACATCAGTTAGTAGCTATGATACTACAGGTGGCTAGAAAGGACAGTGTACTTGTTCTTCTCCATATAGATTTTATATGTATTAATAATAAAAAGTGGACTCACTAGTATAAAGCAAACTTTTCAGCCAAGGATTAAAACTTAGTTTTATCTGAAATATGTAAAAGGCAGGCATTAAGCAGTATTGAATTCTATTAATTCTTCTTTCAGACTGAGACACGAAGCTTATATGTAATGATCATCTTAGGTTTATAATGCCTTGTTTATTAGTAAAGTGCTTCTAGTGAATTTATGATGTGGATGTATTTGTAGTTCCTAGAGTCTCTTATGTAAAGTTTATAATTTATGACTTTTGAAGTTGGCAGTTTATGTGGTTGAGTGATGAAGGTTGAGTAATCCTTGCCTGTAATGCTTGAAACTGAACATTTCAAGTTTTGGGATATTTGTATAGAACATCCCAAATTTGAAAGTCATGGTGCACAAAATATTTAGTATTTGAGATAGGCATGCTTCCTCAACTAATAATTGTATATAAACAACAAAACTTTAATGTGTATATTCAATCGTGGGTAGCAGGGCCTACTGTGGGAAAATACAACAAAAACCTCAGATTTATCACTAGTAGAAACTGTATATGCCTTACCCAAACATCATCAGGGCTCACATTGGAATTTCAGTTTGGGCCTGTTTTAATGTCACATAGATTAAAGCTGCTGAAGATTTAGGACTAGAGTGGGAACTTGTCACTTGCATTGTATGTCATCAGCCTAGGACTGCTGGCAATTTGTAATGAAGTTAAAAGAATCATTCTTCAAAGTCACTACCTGACCCACAGATGAATTTATTTTATTACCTGTAGAGCTAGAAGTAGATATAGTCATTCACACAAAGTACAGGATTGATAAATGGTCTTTTATTTTATTTTTATTTAGCTTTTTAAATTTGGTGATTGGTCTTTTAGATAGGAAACACATTTAGAAATCTTGCAGCATTACTTTTATAATAATGCAAGGGGCTTCACTTATATTTTAGGCTCATGCTGAAGATTCGGTCATGGACCATCATTTCCGGAAGCCAGCAAATGATATAACGTCTCAACTAGAGATCAATTTTGGAGACTTAGGCCGCCCAGGACGTGGTGGCAGGGGCGGACGTGGTGGACGTGGTCGTGGTGGACGTCCAAACCGTGGCAGCAGGACTGATAAGGTAATTTTAAGATGCATTTTTTTTTTCTGTTTTGAGCAATTTAGGACGTGCAAACGATTACTGCCTGGATATTTTGGATTGTGGGGTAGGGGGCAGATAAATAGAATTAAAGAAGTGACTTATTTTCAAGAAACAACATTTTGTGGCAATTGCACTATGTGGCTGCAGCCATCCTGGAGCTCAACTGTAGAGCAAGCACTGACCTTCTGTGGAGTGCTTATTAAACACTCACCACCTCACTTGGCCTTAGTTCTGTTTTTAACAGACATAATGATAAGAATCGTGCTGCCAAAGAGTTGAATTAATCATACTATTGAGTTCTTTGTTTGTCAAGGTGCTTTTTGCATGTTGTTATAATTTCTTTTTACTCTGGGGTATCCTCACTGAGGTATGGAATATTCCTAGGATTGCTAAAGTTTCCCAGAAACACTAGTCTGCCATAATTTAGGAGTGGGGTGCTATAGGTGCTTTATCATGCTGCTCCCAAACTTGCAGTCAGGCCTCACCCTCTCAAAGGATGGTGACTTGACTGTAGGATTTTATACCCTGTCTTCCTCTAAAACAAGTCCTGAATGAGAACTTTGATAGATGCCCAAGGAGTTAATTTTGAATTCAGAATTGCCTGTTGACAAAGTATTAGGGATAACTTTAATGTCTGGTTTGAAAAAACAAGCCATAGACTCCTGAATTCATGGGGGCTTCCCCCCTTTGGAGACTGGGTTTCACTATACAACCCTGGCTGTCCTTGAACTCTCTGTAGACCAAATGGCTAAGAGCAAAATCTGTTCTGAAGGGCGGGTTGCCAGGTAATGTATCAATCTGTGATAGAGCACTTAACCTAGTAATGTATAAGCCTTGACAGGATTCCTGTTAGGTCCAATAATTAAAGTACTTTATTGGAGAAACTGAGGTATATGTATAGTTTTAATATTTATAATTTCATTTTTAAAGTAAAAGCTTCGATCTGACTTATGTATGTAGTATTTCAATAGGAAGACGTTAGAGTTCAGTGTCTAATTATAGGCACTAGCAGACTGTTTTTAAGATTTCAGAATTGTGGTTAATTTTTTGCTTTTGTTTTTTTTTTCCTCAGTCAAGTGCTTCTGCTCCTGATGTAGATGACCCAGAGGCATTCCCAGCTCTGGCCTAACTGGATGCCATAATACAACACTGGTTCCTTGTGGACCCTCCTGTTGAAAGCTTTTGCATGCTTAAGGATCCCAAACAACTAAGAATTAAAAAAAAAAAAAAAGACTGTCATTCATACCATTCACACCTAAAGACTGAATTTTATCTGTTTTGAAAACGAACTTCTCTAGCTACACAGAAGTAACAAATATGTTAGTCAGTTTTGTATTTAGAAATGTATTGGTAGCAGGGATGTTTTCATAATTTTCAGAGATTATGCATTCTTCATGAATACTTTTGTATTGCTGCTTGCAAATATGCATTTCCAAACTTGAAATATAGGTGTGAACAGTGTGTACCAGTTTAAAGGTTTCACTTCATTTGTGTTTTTAATTAAGGGTTTAGATGTTCCCTCAATTACAAGCCGGTCTTAAATATTAGACAAAATACTGGTTATAATATCTGCTTTGCCTTTTCACACATGTCAACTGGGACATGTAAACTTCTGATTTACCAGACTTTGTGCTCCATGGAATACTAACCACTATGTATTTTAACTATATATTTTTATTTGGGAGTTGGCATTCTCCCCCCCCCCCCACATCTTATGATAGTTGATATATACTAAATCTTTATACAGAATTATCAGTACTTGAATGAATTCAAAACACATTGGTTTTTTAACTCTTGAGTCATGCATGGTTTATTAGATTCGAATTATACCTGATTCACCTATATTTACTTTTAAAATGCGTGGCTTCCTCATTTTAAAAGTAAAACTAAACACTGCTTTTGGAACTTGTGTAAGCTACTTCTTGTTGACAGATATAGCCTGTGTTCAGTGAAATAGTTCTGTGGGTGTGGGTGTTTTCTTCCCTCTAACAAGGTGGGTGGAGTTAGTTTGGTTAATGCCTAGTAGTTAAACTTATATAAAATGAGAGCCTGGCCATTTGGTATTTGTGTATGAAAGGCCCACAAATCAAGATGGTTATCTGTAATCTTTATTCTTGATTTAGAAGAAGCAAAGGGCACTCATTGGTTAGTATGCTGAGATGGAAAACTATCTTGTAGTATTTCAGAACAGCTTTACTTTTAGTTTGGATCAGCAACACCACACATAAAATACAAGACAAGTATCTTGTTTATGAATTTTCTATGTATTGTTATGATTTTGACCTGGGTTAATAGATAAATGTTTCATGGAAAGTGTTAAGTATCAGTTTCCATTTCCTCCATTAGAAAATTAGGTAATTGATTATTTGAACAGAAACATCGCTGCTTATTAAAAAGTATATACATAGAATGCTTGAAAAACAAGTTTTCTAGGATATTTTTATTCACATTCATTAATTAACCAGGGAAGGAATTTTATTCAAAGCTTTAAGACTTTTTTTTAAACTGTAATTTTGGGTATAATGGAGATCTTAAATCTTACATTTGCTAGTTAGGTAATTAATTTTTATGTACACATCTAAAAGACTCATTTAATTGTATTTACTGGGTGTGAGTCTGACTGCTTGGAAAGAAGGTATTTTTTTAAATAGACTTATGTAGATGCCTGATGTTTCACATGTTCAGATACCTCCTGTCCAGAGGTAAGTCAAGTTTATTTTGCAGCATATATACCCTTAAATCAATGTTTAAACTGTCAAGTATTTTAATTCACTTTTTAATAGTAACATCATTATACATCCATATTTCCAGCAACATGGTGTAGAAAACACCACCTCTTAGAAAAACATAGGTTCTACTCAGAGTCACTATCACCAGAAAACACAGGGCATTTGCAACATAGCTGCAAACTTTCAAAGTAGGTTGGAATTGAAGAGGTCTATTCTGCCTGATGCTTGTGAATTTCCTTTCAGGTTCACTTTATGTCAAGAACTATAGGTAGACTTTCTGTATATTAAAAAATAACAATTTATTTTCATGCTCATTTCCTGAAAGATATAGAAGCAATCAATCAAGTGGGAGCCTCTTTATGTTTCTTGGCTTCCCTTTTTCTGATCTCTGCACTGTCAAGATAATGTAACTTTTAAGATTTTAAATGTTTAGATATCATGTGAGGTTTTAAATGAACCTGCTAAGTCCTGTATTTGCGAACAGTATCTGTCTTAATGATAAAGTTGGGGAAGTTAGTAAAACAATTTCAAGAGTAGATATAATAGTTGGCTTAAATAATGTAAATATATATAACATCAGTTGAAATTTTTAGCATAGTTCCAGCTTGGGTTGAAGGGAGGATATAGATTACTAGTTCAAAACTATTTGGAGCTGTTCAGAGATCTTAAATGTACCAGCAAGTACTACAGTTCAAGACATGTGATTTCTAGATTTGTGAATGTATTTGGTTTATTTTGGGTATGGGTTCCTAGAGAGATTATTGCATATTCCTTGTGATTGTTATTTTTATAATTACTAGAGATTGGTGAAATAGAAAAGATGTTATACTTAGTTTGCAAGTAAAGTATGTGTTTTATGTTGAATTTTTAAAAACATCTTCAGAGTATTAGCAGGTAGAAGAAACCAGGTAGTAAAAATTAAAAATGGGAAGCTGCCAGAACCTTACTCACTGACGTTGACTTTAACATGACAGTGCAGGTACATCTGGACAGGTGGCCCAACATGCCCTAACTGCTTTAGTATACCTATGGTGCATGCCGATTTGCTTCCTTACCCACACTACCTGGCTGCCCATGCTGGGCAAGTATGCTGAAAGTTACAACCATAGCACTATTGTAAAGGAAGTTTAGGAAATATATTCTAGCCCAAACCTTTGTAATTGAAGTGAGATTAATATGTAAATGTTAAATCTGAACGTCCTATTTTCACATTAACTAAAAGCCAGAAACCAGACTACTAGTATGCTTTAAAGAGTATGTCTAATAACAAGGCAGTATTACCTTATTGAACAGCCTTAGTAATTTATCTGCATTGGCAAAGATAATTGTCAGTAGTTTTCTAAAGCTGATTTAAAGTGCTAGGGGTTTGTGTTTTCTAGGCACATGTTCTGCTACCATGCATTCCTCAACCCAAATTTTTGGGTTTTGTTGGGAGAAACTAGTGGCTGCTTTCCGAAGTGTGAGAGGTTTTGCTAGCTATTCCCTTCCTGACTGCTGTTCGGATCATCCCAGGCCGGAATGTAAAAGCTCCTTTAAAATAAAAATTTAACCTCTAAGTATTTATTAAGTCATGCTACTCTTAAAAAAACTTCTGTCACTTTAATCCAAAGTTTGGGGTTGGGTACGGTCTCTATCTGGTAGCCACTTAACTTACCCATAGTCTAAAAATGAGGCAATTATCTTGTTATTTATTTTTGGTTTTTTAAAGATTAATGTGAAGAGAGTGTGAGAGCTCATATGCCCAGTCAGTCCAGAAGAGGATATTAGATTCCTTAGAGTTAGAATTACAACTCTAGCCCCTGATTTTGCTTTTCTTAAAACAAGATAATTTAGCTTGCATTGCTTGAATTGGTGCTAATGTCTAATTTTTAGAAATTTATTTTCATACACATAAAAATCCATAAAAGCCAGGTTAATTTGACTAGGATTTTGTCATGGACTAAATGCCAGTGAGTACCAAATTGAGATGACTATGCTATCTTTTTCTCCCCCAAATTTTAGAGCATCTACAAAGATTCTTTTATACCTGGAATCCACAGAGATCTTATGTTTGGTGGTGGCAGTTTGCAGCTTATGTCAAAGTTTTTGACCGGGGGTGGGTGGGTGGGGCTTTTGGTAATTCAGTAATGAATTTTAATAGGCTCAAGAAGATGTGTGATAGCCTTCTCCCATTACATACATGAACATGCTTAGGTCTCCATGATTTGTGAAATAAAATGTATCTTTAGAGATAGGCAATTGGGTGGAATTTGAGTGGTTTTTTTTCTCTAGAGACCATGCTTTTGCGCAGCTGGAATGAAACTTGGGTCTCCAGCCTGGATTTCTTGAGTGGGTAGATAAGCATTCTTTTGTAGGTAAGCATTACCATGCTTAGCAGCTCTTTTGCATATTATTCCTAAATTTCAGAATTTTTACTAGCTTCCACTTGATTTTCTATACTCTTAATTGTATCCCTTGTCTGTTCATGAGGGCTTTACTTGGGTGTTAACACCTATCATAATGTTAGACAGCTTTGCTGTAGGGGATACCTGGGTTAGGTTCATTGTCCTCTTGTCAGCTTTTAAGGTGGATGCTGAATCCATATTCTCAGTTATGCAGTATGTATCCCGCTTTACTGTTCGTTTGTTTGTCCATAATAGTTTACTATGCCTTCAAAAACTGACACTGTCACTATATCAGAAAGAATCTAGGTTAAATTTTTATTAGTGATAGGTAGACCTAGCTTCCATGCATGTCATTTTAAAAGGCGAGAGGTAGAAATAATTTTTCCTGAAGTAGAGGATATTGCCAGTACACTTGACTGAGAAGTTTTACCAGCACTTCCTAGTCACAGGATAGCCTAGATGCGACAAAGTTCATTGCAGATGTTAAAGCACTCACCACCCTGAGGAAGATGGGAGAGATAGAAACAATTTTCTGATTGTTTATAGGAATTGAAAAGAATCTAAAACCTGAGTTGTCATAGATTTATGGAAACCGATATTCACTACAGTTTTAGGGAATGAAAACAAGTAGTCAGTAGTTTTTACCTTGAGATGGAATAAGTTATACATTCTGTTTCTAAGTGAAATCTTAGAGAATCCCACATATTAGTGAAAGGGATGGTTAAATCTGAAGATTAGCAAATGAATATGGTAGGGGTTTTTGTGCTTATATTCAGTTTTGAAGGTATTGCAGTTTTTTTAAAAACAGGGATGCAGTCTATGAACTATGTAGTCAAACACCAGGCAGGTCTTGAGTGATGGGATTAAAATCATGAGCCACTGCACTCCAGTGTGCTAATGAAAATATTCTTGAGTTATTTTAAGATGTTAATGAGAATCAGTCTTCATAGTGGTGCTTGGTTATCCATTTTCTGATAACTAGAGTGAATAAAAGACTTATTTTGAAAAGTGTATTCATGGCACAAGATTAAGACATCGCTTTTTGGCTTAAATAACTTAAGCCACACTTCAAGAGGTATAAACTAGGTGGAATTAGGAGGTCGAAGATTATTTTGTTTCAGAGGCATTCTGGGTTTGATGATACTGGAGGCTGTAAAGTTGAGCTGAGGGTCAGTCTTACTACATAGCAAGGATCTACCTTTGCAGCCAGCTCCCCAGACCTCCCAAGGAAAACAGCATGGTTTATCAGTGTGATAGGTTTTTTTGGTTTGTCAACTTGACATAAGTGGAGTTAGTTGTCTGGGAAGAGAGGGCCTCAATGGCTAAGGAATTGCTTGTGTTAGATTGGCCTGTAATGAAATCTGTGGTGACATTTTCTTGGCTAATGATGGGGGGGGGCACCCCTGTATTCCTAGGTTGTATTAAAAAAAAAAAAAAGCAAGCTGAACATGGTGTCTTGCTTCAGTTATATGTAAGACAAACGCTTTGCTCTCTAGTCTACTTTTGGTCACAGCAACAATAGCAATTAGGACATAAATTGGTACCAGGAATGGAATATTGCTGTGACTGACAGACCTGGCCCTGTGGCTTTGGGTAAGATTGTGAACATGCTCAAAGCTAATGGGCTGTTGTGTGGGAGTTTGGAAAGTGAGTGCTGAAAACACGTTGTGTTTGTTCATGGTCTCTACTCCTTTCCTAGCTTCTTTTGATAGTGGTCCATGAAGCTTTATCATACCAATAGAAGCAAATATGCAGAAGTTGGTACCAGTAGTAGAGTTTGAATCTACATAGA